CCCTCACGCCGGTCTGAACCTGCCGCCCCTTTCGCTGGCTCCGCGGTGACACGGCCCGCCTGACGCTGATGTCTGGGGCCTCCCCATTGGCTCGGGGTCGGGGGGGCGGAGCGTGTGAGGAGGCGTGGCCAATAGGATGGCCCCCGTGGGGGCGGAGCCAACGCCAGCCACCTGCCTGCTCAGATAGGCCTGGAGCCGCGCCCCTCCCGTCTGCTGCCTGCTGGGAAATGGAGTCTTGACTGGAAACTTAGGAGCTGCGTGTCTCTGCCCCTTGGCCTTTGGGAAATATGGTCCACCGTGGAACCTTCAGATCAGATGCCACAGCCCTCCATGCCAGAACATCCCAAGAGAATGTGCTAGGTCATTGATAACTCTATGTTTAATTTTTTTCTACACAAAATTCACCTTGAGGTGGACAGTGGCTCCACGACCTTCAGTTTTGTCACCAAAAACAACTGCAATATTTTCCGTATTCTGCCTACAGGAACCATAACAGACTTGTTTTGGTAGGTTTCCCAGGTTTTCCCTGTAAATCGAGATGAGGCAGTACATATAGTCACAGACAAAGACTGAAGAAAAGAGACAAATCCATTTCCGGCATCCTTGGCCTCTGACTCTGTCTTGACCCTGAAACAGAGCTTTTCAGCATATTGCTGCTTAGGAAGATGGAGGCTCGACACAGGAATGTGAACAGCAACAATCAGAGAAAGCTTTGTGTGCTCACCCCTGAGGGCTTCCTCAGGGGCCCCTTCTGTTTTTGGATTTTTCCTAGGTAGGAGCCATCCTTCTTTGTCTCTCTGTATGCCCTGGAACTTTCGGCAGAAAACGTACCATTTGGAATATTATGACATGACAACTAGGGAAATCAGGTTCTCCACCTTCCCGGCATTTCTGGGAGATGCTGACTGCAATAGATGGTGATAGTTACTTTGGGGGATATTCTGATCCAATCCTGAAAGTTCTGTATTCTTTGTCATGTGTGGCCACTGAATACTTTGATCTGTTAGCCTAAGGATCAGCCAGAGATCCTGAGTTCAGTGGGTCTTAGGATGTCCTCCTGGGGAAAGAGGGCAAGGGAACTCTGTATGTGACAGGGAGAGCGACTATCTGCTTTGGTGTAGAGAAAGAGCGTGGCAGACTGCATCCAGTTCTCCTTTCATTCTGGCACACAGAAGACTAGGTTTCCTAGCCCTCTTGGTTTTCGAATGGACATGTGGCTACTTCTGCCCAAGGGGATCACTTTTAGGCCAAAGGAGAAAGGAGGGTGTGTAAGGCCCCAGGTGCTCTTGATGTCCTTCAGTGGCAATGGAAGAAGGCGTGCGTTTCAGATGGTGTAGCAACAAGGTCATGAGGTCTCCATCAGCCTTGCCCAACGAGACTTCGGAAACAGGGGTCCCTTCACACTGGCGACCAATGTTTGATGTAAATCTGAGGAGAAATACATCTTTAGTCATGGATTTCTTAATTGTTGCATTTAATTTCTTACCAGAGCATTACCTAAGGTTGTCCTGAAGATTACAATGACCTACCCTCTCAGATTGTCTAAAAGGTGATTCTTCCAAAACAGAATTGGCCGAATCTCATGTTGCTATGGTCAGAAGTCATGTCTGCTGACGGCTGTTTGTCACAGATCGGGGCCCTGTCAAGAGACCCTGAGTCTGATGGGGAGTATTGCATGTGGAGAGTGTATGGAAGTGTTCTGGAGAGATATCCCTATGGGAAGTTAGCAAAGCAGAGATGGTCGCAGGAGAAGATGAAGCACAAGCCCGTTGCCACTGGGTCTCAGCCAACCCTCAGGGATCTCTGGAGCTGGGACGGCCCTTTGGTGTTGTCCCAAATTGAGACAAGGGAACCAGGCTTCTTACTCCCTTATATGCCAGACATGGGCCCCTGGCTGTCCCTGGAGAGGGCTGTATCCTCGGGTTAATCACTTCCCTATGCTGTGGGAATGTCCTGTGAGGGAAAGAGCTGTGAGCTGTCCTCAGCCAATATTCCCAGGAGCTGTGGGGTGGATGCCTTGGCCTTGAGCATGAGTCTGGGCTGAGTCTCAATGTTTCAGTGGCACTTCTCCTTCACCGTGGTCTTCCTTCCCAACCCAGTTAATAATTTCCTGATCTGAGGAAGTCCCTGGGAGGACTAACATAGAGCTCTGCCTTTCCCTGTGATTGGATGAGAGAAAGGCATTGGGGAAGAGTAGAATCTCTCTCTCCAGGATTCAGACCCTCTTACCTGGGGGCTTCTGGAGAGCTCCAGAAGGCTTCCGACTTTGGCTGACAGTGCTGAAGTGGTTCCTGTAATGGTGGCCATGGATTTGCTGTTGTCGGGCACTTGTAGTTAGGGAGAGTCTGATTCCCTCCAGAGAGCCAGAACAGGGAGCTCTCCAAGGTCTTGAGATCACAGGGACAGGCCTGGTAGACATGGAAACCCAGGGGCAGGTTGGCGAGTCGAGGGGTGTTCTCGTCGCTCTCCTCAACAATGAAGGAAAGGCCAATCCATCCTGGTAATTTATCCAGACACACCTAATCTGAGGGGCAGCATTTGGGAGAATGGTCGAGTCATGCCATTCAGGGACAAAACCTAAGCCAAGCCAAGGGAAAGGCAGGATTCTGGACTCAGGTTACTCATCCAGAGATGCTCCTGTCTTGGCAGATGGAGGTGGTGTGAACATGGTTCCCAGGGCTCTGGAACACCCTGGCATGGCTCTCTCATTGTGATGAGGCAAATCGTGTTCAAATCAGCAAGACAGGTTTGCAGGGCACTGTGAGCGTGGGGAGATGGCATTGAGCTGGATGGTGTGGCTGTCAACTGGACAGATTTTTTGTTAGCTCCCAGAAATGGAATGTGCATCTGTGCATGGACCACATGGCAAGATATTCTCGAGGTCTGTGAGTGAGGAGTACAAACCCCGTCTCATCGACCACTTTGGAAAGACTGAGTTGAATCCCACCGTGATCTTGTTTTCTCTTGCACTGGAAGACAAGATGGAAGCATCTGTCCCCACCTTGGACCTGGAATAGTTTAAATGGCACCCGACTTACCATTCCTCAAACATTTTGATCATTTCCTGCCAACACCATATTCACCTGAGGCATTTTAAGGGACTCACATTGTTACTTTCTCTTCTCCTAAGTCAGCTCTTAGGAAGCCAGTTTTGGTAACTTCTGTGTGTCTTGAACAAGAAACATTTCATCCAGATTTTCTAATTCCTTACCTCGTGGACTTCCACAATCTACTTCCAACTTGGAAACCCAAAGATGGGATAAATGCTGCCTCCTGTGTCCACAGCTGTACTCCTGAAACAAACTAAACGTTGCTACCTGCCGGTTCAGCTCTCAGGAGCACCCCAGTCCTGGAGGAGGCACTCTTGGGACACCCATGCCTTCATCCCAGCCCTGGACTAGCCCTGGGGACTGCCACAACTCCTTCTCCTCTGAGGGCCAGCACAGCCTTCCCCACCTTCCTCTGGCTAATCTCTTTCCTGGGTGGCTGTGCCACATCAGCAAGGCCCTGGGCTGCCGAGTACCAGGGTTGATCCTCAGCTCCAGGCTGTGCTGAGATGGCCTCCCTGGCAGAGTCCAGCCTGCCAAGTCTCTGAGTGATGCTTGCAGCCAACAAGGAGCAGGGGAGAAGTCAGAAGTGCCAGGGGCTTCACCCAGCCCTTGTCTTTCAGGCTGTTTCCAAGGGAGGAGATGGCAAAGGCTGGGTGGTCAGGCTTTCATTCCTGGTTCTGGAGCTGGTGCTCTGGTTGAGCTCAGAGCAGTGTCTGTTTAGCACCCAGATGGGAAGCATTTCAGCAATTCCCTCTGTAAGGCTGTGTCCATGAACATCCACAGATCATCAGTTTGCTGGCATTCCCAGCAGGACCCATGACTCACACCCTTCTTAGGCCTCCTCTTTCAAAGCTCCCAACAGGAAAGGCACACATCCCCATGACAGAACCACCGCACAAGACTGTGGAAAAGAACACAGCCAGCCCAGGGGCTGCACGCTTGCTGGGCTCAGGCACAGCAACGACTTTAGGAAAAGCCACTACAAATACTCCAGGTTGTGTAAATTTGGGACTGTCCAACACCACGGGCCTGAAAAGCACACAGGCCCAGAAGTCACCCTTGGCAGCAGGGAGACTCTGGGGTCATTCCTGATCAGGAGGATCATCAGAAAGGCTAGGGGCATCTAGGGAATTTCTACCCTAAGATACAATTGTATGCAGAAGTGCAGAAATGCTGAAAATCCTGGCTTATAGGGAGCAGTAGGTTTATGGAGGGAGACCTGGCTGAGGCCCTAAAAGCTAAATCCCACAGCTTTCCCCTTGGATAGACAACAAGCAGGAAATGGTATTTGGAGTCAGGGACCAGAAGCCCAGGAAGAGCAAGTCTAGGCCAAGGGTGAACAGGGAGCCCCGCAGTGGGCCCGAGAAGGCAGAGTCCTGCCTGCCCATGGTCCATGTGCACAGGACCTTCCTCTGGCCTCGTCCTTCCCACATGCACGTTTTGAGCTTTTGACGGTATTTTCCTCACTAAGTGCTGAAGCCATTCCGGAGACTGAATCAGAAAGCAAAGTTCTAATCTGTGTGCAAGAGAAACTGGGAAACTGTTAACTCTTCCTGCAGAGTGTAGAAAGGAGCCACTGTCCTGGGCAGGACATGTGCTAGCGACAGGCACATGCTAGTGTGAAAGACACGCCCAGCTCAGTGGTTGTCACTCTGCCTGAGAAAATGCCTCCAATCCCTTAGTCCCAAGAGGTCAGAGGGGGCCTTCTCTGCTCCTGGACAGGGTGAACTACACTGCAATGATCCTGTCCTCGGAGGGAGGGGGACTTGGGCATGTCCTTCAGTAGCCTGGGAGGGGACTGGCCCTTCTCCCTTCTCCACATAAACTAAGCTGCTGACGCTGCGAGGTTTCTAAATTCGAGGAGGAATGTGAGTTTCTGGATGTGGTTACCATGAGCGCGGGGAGCAAAAGACGCACACCTCCACTCCCAGGATTAGAAAGAAGCAACAATTTAATATAATACTCAAACGGACCATTTACCATTGACAACAAAAACACGGCCCCTGCAAATACGGAAATAGGTGCTGGGGAAAAGCGGGGAGGGAGAAGAGGGTTTGGTGCCTGCCTTCATGGCCTCCAGGGGACCCCAGGAAATGGATCACAAAGTTCTCCTTGTCAGAATCAGAGGACGTGGCCCTGTGCACCCTGAGTGTACCCACTGTGTCCGTGCTGTAGTTCAGCTGGTCTCAGGAGGGTCATGGATCACCACCACTGGGCGTTTGGTTGGGGGTCTGGTGCCTAGAGAAAGAGAGGCATTTCCTGAGGGGCCTGCCCTGGAATCACAGGGCACACCCCCTCCCTGCCCCCAAGGTGCTCTGTGCTCCAGCCCTGTGTTGAGTGCTCAGACAGCCAACAGCACCCCATCTGTCTCTGACACAGGGGCTGATATTTAGTGTCACCCGTTTCACAGAGGAGGAATCCAGTCCCAGAAATGTGAGTGCAACTGCCCAGGACAGGACTGCTCAGCAGTGGAGCTGGGACCCAGTGCCAGCTGTCTGCCTCCCCAGGCCCAAACTCAGCCTGAATGTTTCCTGAGCCCGTGGATTCAGCCACTGCCGGTGCAGACACTCACTCTGTCCTGAGCGGTTCTTCTTGTCTTTGAAGACAAATCGAATCTTTCTGGCCCAGTGGTATCGGGGCTCCAGCTGGCAGGACAGGCTGTAGCTACAGGACAGAGTAGAGCTGGGAGCTCTCAGGAGCCACACATGACATGTGCGTCCTGGAGCCTGCCCGTAGGTGGAGTCCAAGGGCCCCAGGGGTCGCGATGCCACCAGATCTGAGGCTGACCATGAAGCCACCGTCATGGGCTCTGGAGCTGGTCAGCAGAGAGAGTCTGCCCTGCCCTCCCCCAACTCCTGACCCGCCTCATCTCTCCTCCTTGCTCAGGGGCTCCACAGCCTGGAACCAGGCCCTAATGTGCTCGTCAGGCTGCACGGTGTACAGATTTGCAGCCTCCTGGAACAGCTCGATCTCCTCCATCAGTTTGAATTCCTAGGAGAGAGCAAGCACAGGATGCTCACAGGGCCTGAGTGGGGGACACTACCGGGCTCTTGGAGGGGGTGAGGAGGGGGGCAAGGAGCCAGTCTTGGGCCTTTGCCCACTTGGGAACCCTGCCTCCCTGCAATTCCAGTCAGGACTTGCTTGCTCTCACATTTGGCCCGAAAGAGCTCCTCCTCCAGGAAGGCATCTTTGATGCCAGCCCTTCCCCCATCCACCAATGCCATTGGATCCCCATCTCTGTATATCGAACTGTGCAAATAAATGTCCGACCCTGGGGATTGGGCCAGAGGGGGTCCTGCCCATGGGCGGGGGCTCTCTGATTTCCACACCCCGACCCTCCCCTTCATGAGCCTGCAGCCGCTTACCTCATTCCATTTCCGACAGTTCAGCACATTCCCCTGGAAGGCAGACAGCCAGTCCATCAGAAACGGCCCCCTTAGGCCAGCACTAGCCCCCGTCCACACCTCTTCCAATGTTGCACTGCTGCCAGTGGGCAGGCCCTTCCAGAGACAAGACTTGGAACTCGGCCAGTCTCTAGGCTCCAGTGCAGGGGGCACAGTGCAACTGAGGCAAGAGACCTTGTAATCTAACCCTCTCTGATGATGCGTGGGGAGACTCAGGCCTCAGGCAGGAAGGGACAGTTCAGCCACTGATGTGCTTCCTGACTGGGAGGTGCCCGTCTTCTCTTCCCTCATGGGCAGGGCCAGAGGAAGAGGCTGAGTCCAGCTCAGACACCACCTCCTGCGGCCGCACAGTCAGGCAACTCTGAGCCTCAGCAGCCCAGGGAATCTGGATGGTGGCTTCTGCAGAGCCTGCATTACTCATTGGGGAGATGGGCTTGATGTCCCAACTCCCACACGAGGCTGGAGGCCCTGCTGAAAGGATCTGTGCCAAATGCAGAGAGCTCAGGGCTCAGGGAAGGACTCTCTCCTCCCCACCCTCAGGAGCCTGAGCCCCCGGACCCACCTCCAGGCTCACGCACCTCCACATAATCCACCATCGTAGCTTCCAGCAGCTCCAGGGAACTGAAGAATGTCACCATGGAGGGGACGACACCCTGTGCCGCCATCGGGGTGGGCATGGTGATGAGCTCCCGCTCTCAGGTGCCCCCATGAACCCTCCCCTGAAACTCCTCACCCCAGCCTCCTGCCCACCCCACACTCTCACACAGAGCAGCCTAGGATCCTCGGGACACCCCAACACCCACAATTCCCTCCTCCCCTTCCCTCCAGGAGCACCAAAGTCCACCAGTCACGTCCCAGGGCTGGTTCTTGGCCAACCCCAGGGGGTGTGGCCCCTGCCCCTCTCGACCCCAAATCTGTCCTGCTGCCAGCCCTTCCAGGTCCTCTCTTGCTCACTGCCAATGCAGGCACATCAGGCTAGGTGGCCACAGCAGATGCCCTGGAGGAGGATGGCCCCTCTCCTGAGGGAGGTCTCCAGCTAGAGGGGGAGCCCCCTCTCCTCTGACTCCTGGGCCCCTCCCCCACAGGCACCCTCCTCACCTGCTGCTGCTGCCTCTCCTGGGTTCCCTGGCAGGCCCTCTCTGTGGTCACTAACACAGAGGTTGCCTCCTGTCGGTGCTGAGGACAAGGACAGTGCAACCATACTCCCTCCACATGTCCACCAAGGCCCCTGAACTCAGACCCTGGCCATCTGGCTCTAGGCCACTGCTGCCTATGCTGCTCCTACCTCCAGGGTGGTCTGATTCTAGATCAGGCCTGGCTCCAGGACTCACTCCTGTGTGACCTTGGGCCTGCCCAGGCCTCCCTGAGCCTCTTTCCTCATCTGAAAAGTGTGAGGAAAATGTCACCTGCTTCCAGGAGTCTCCTGAGGACACAGGGTCATCTGCATCTCATCACTGCTCTCCCCTCACCTCTCAAGGAGGAGCCAGCACAGATCTCCTCACGTTCCTGTCCTCCCTTGGACAGTATCACCCTGCTGGGAGGCCTGCACCACCGATCATTTCCCTCCACTTCCCAGAGGGGGAGACCGAGGCCCCCAGAGGGGCAGTGACTGGCTCAAGGACCCATTGAGGAGAGGCTGCTCCCAGTCCCAGCCAGAGGCCCTGTCCCCGCTGCCTTCACCCCACCCCCGGCTCTAAATCTGACCAAGTCCCCGACCTCTGGTTTCTCGAGGGTTTGTACAGACCCCAGCTGAACAGACAGGGAGGGAGAAGGCAGGGTGTCCTGGGGGGCCTGGCTGAGTGGCTCTGGCCTGCCTCACCCTCACAGGGCTCTCTGACCCCCAGCCTGGGCCGAGCCTTGCCATGCACCTCACCTCCTAGGATCCCCTCAGGATGTTCCCCTCCCCTCTCCTTCTGGCCTCCTTCCAGATCTCCAGCCTCCAGGTTACCTGCATGAGCAGCTCCCTGTTCACGCGCTGCTCTCTCCTGCACCACTTCTTAAAAGTTCGACAACTCTCCCTGAGGGGTGGGGAAAGAAAGAAAGATAACAAGAAAAACTGTGGGTTGGTGGAAGGGCAAATCCCTTTTGTTTGAGAAGCCAGCAGATCCAAACTGCCTGGGGCCTGGATGAGGGACTTCACTGGGGTGCTCTGAGCTCTAAGGTCCCCATGGCACTGGTAAGGGGCCTCTCCTCTTGTCCCCTGGGGCCTCCATTCCCATATGTCCCAAACAGGTCTCTTTGCAACAGTGTTGATTTCAGCTGCATAGAGACTTCTGTTGCTGCAAAGGAAACACTTGACAATCTCCACCTGGGCTCAAGCCAGGATCTGGTCTGGAAGGAAATGAATCACTGGGGCAGAACTGCTGGCCTAAGGGCCCTGAGAGACTCAGATACCCAGCACCCAGATCAGTCCCTGTGCCCGGTGTTCACTATTTCCCAGGTGGTCTCAGCTGACTTTGGGGGACATGCCGGCCCAAAGCCGGCTGCCTGGGCCACCTCACCCTGATGGTGCTTGGCTGGAGAGCAGCCTACCCACCTGGAAACTTGTCCCCAGGTGTCTTGGAGACGGGTAAAGGTAGGGCTCTGCAGGGCATAAAGGATTGTGTGGAGGGAAGAGAAGTTTCCGAGGCCTCGGCACTCCTGGGGAAGGGAAGAGATGGAGCCTTGAGGGGGAGCTGGAGCTCTGCTCCCTCTGGCTTTCATCCCCTCACGGACTTCTCCTGTCCCTGAGGAGACAGATGTCCAGGGAAGCCAGGGAGGGCACACGTGGCACCCGACAAGTAACACTGCCAGGCACAAGGATTTGTAGCTCAACACAAGGAAGGAAGTGAGCTTGTCCCCATTGGGACCTCAAGTCAAGGTCAGTGTGGCCCTGGCAGGAGGGTCAAGGGACAGTCCAGGGACTCAGACGCCAAGCTTCAATCTTGAGAGCTGAGAAACAAGAGGCATTTCCCATGCCTCCAGACAGGGCCTGCCACGACTTACCTCAGCCACACAGACCCAGAGCTCCACTACCCTGGCCCTGTCCTGTGCTGTCATGCTCAGGTCCCCAAGGCAGGTGACGAGGATGCAATTGGCCACGGTGTTGTCTTGCGTCACAGTGTCACGGACGGTGGGTGCCAGGTACTCGCGTTCCCTGTTGTCTCGCTCGGACCAGATGGAGCCGAGGCAGTGGGCGGGCACCAATGTCTTGATCAGCTCCTGAAGAAGATTCGGAGTGTCACCCAGCCCTGCTGCACCCCAGCTCAGTGTCCACAGTCCTCCATAGGCCCAGGCAGGGTGAGATCAGAGCTGGAGATCAGGAATCAGAGCATGTGGCCTGAGGCTTGTGGGAGTCCCTGGGTTTGGCTGTGTCCACTGAATGCACCCAGTCCAGGATGAACCCGGACACAGTACTGTGGGGGAGTGAGGTGACATTTGCTCCCAGCCCTGTCTCACTTCCTCCAAGCTCCAGAATGCAGCCCACACATGCCCACCAGAAGGGCCATCATCTACCCATCCCAGTCCCCCTCCGGTCCCACTCCCCATTCCCATGCACATTCCCCCGAGGCAGGGACAACCACCAGCTTTGTTTTTGTCCACTGGAATCAATACACATCACCTGCCTGATAAGTGCTGAGGCTGTTCTGGCCACCTGCGCAGATGGGGGATCCACCCAAGGACCTGGCAGCACTTCAGTGAGTGCCCATCCCCCACCAAAGGGCCAGACTCTGCCCACCTTCCACTCTCTCCCACCTCATTCATCTGCACAGCCACCCTGTGCAGCAGATGCTCTGAGTGTCTGTCTCTACTGTGCCCTGTTTGCTAGGGGACAGCGAAGGCTTGGGGGGAAAGAAAACTACCCAGGTCACAGTGTTGGTAAGGGAGGGAGCAGGGATGTGGACCCAGATCATCAGATTCCTGAGCAGGGAATGGCAGGTGCTCATGGCACCTGGAAGGCAGGAGTCACCTGCCCTGCCAGATCCGCTGCTCACCGCAGCCATCCTCGTCAGCTGCTCTGCCACCAGCTGGGGAGGGAAGTCCAAGATGTTCGGCTTCTCCTCCCGCAGCTGGTCCTCGGTGGTCACAGCCCAGGGGCAGGTGGGCTCCGGGGCTGGATCTGGAGGGCTCGTGGCTGGTGAAGATGGAACTGGAAGGCTGAGTGGAGGTCAGCCTCCAGTGGGCTCCAGTGCATGAGCTGGCTCTGGGGCTGCCTTTAATGGTGGCCCTTGCTCTGGCCCTTGAGGTGCCAACTCAGGGGCTGCTGGCTTCAGCTCTAACACAGGTGGTGACACTGGAGGTGCAGCTGGCTCTAGACCAGGTGCTGACACTGGCTCTGGCTCTGGAAGTGGCAGGAGCTTTGGAGCTGGCTCTGGAGCAGGATAAAGAGAAAGTTTCACTCACACACCTGACAGTTTCTGTGATTTTCAAAGACAGGAAAGACTCCACTGCCTTGAAGGGAACTCTAGCCCATGAACCTCAACACAGACAGTCTTCTCAGACTCCAGTCCCCTCACCTTTCTGTTTGGCCTCAATGGCCTTCAGGTGCTCCAGGTGGCCTGGCAGAAGGTAGGCATGGCCCTCCACGTGTGAGCCACCAAAGCTGACATGCAGAGTGTCCAGCTGCAGGGTCCAACAGGGAAACTGCAGGGACTCCCTGCAATCCTGCCCTTGGCACAGCCAGGTTCCCAGCAGGAAATAGATACCACTGGAGGGAGGCAGATGGGCCACAGAGTCAGTGGCCTGGCCTTTCCTTAAACACTGCCCGCCCAAGGCACTCTTGTTAGCATCTGGGCCCCTGTACCAGACCCTCCCCCTCCAGAGGAGGGCCCCATCCCAGCCCTGAGCCTTGGCTGGCTGTCCTGGCAGTGGCAGGCCTGCTCATCCAGCAGGCTGAACACACAGTCTGTGAGAGTCTCTTGTTCCCACTGACACTCTCCACCCCAAGGGTCTGGACACAGCCCACCCCAGCCCACCATGGATGTGGGCCACTGGAATGAAGACTCCAGCAGATTTGGGAGCAGCTTGCTCACGCACCTCCTACTATGGACCTGGTGGTGGCATTCACAAGGGGTGGATGTGGAGAAAGGGAGGCAGAATGAGCTGGGACTCTGCTGGGAGTGGGTCTCTAGGGGACAATTCAGCCCAGCCTCCCTTCTGGTTCTCAGGGGGCCTGGGACCCATGCACAGCTCTCTTTGAGTCCAGTCCTGCTGGAGTGGAAGCCACCAGAACTCAGCCCTCTCATGGGAATCACAAGATGGGTGAGATGCAGGGTTCTCCCAGGGCTGCCCCAGCCACAGCCTCCATCCTCTCCCCCCACCCTGTTTGCTAGAGACAGTAGGCCATCCATCTGGACCCAAAGACCACTCACTTTGGGAGGTGGTGCTGTCCTCCAGCATCCCACACACAATGGGCCAAGCTGCCTCCATGTGTCCCAAAGGGGATGAGGGCATCACCCGGGGATGTAGGGTAGATGGGACCAAGGAATGATGTCAAGTGTGACTGTCTGACTCTCAGACTAGAGGGGAGGCCCAGGGAGGCAGTCTGCTTCATTCATTGAGTGATAGTGTGTCCAGATGTCCTGCACACAGTAGGTCCTTCATAGACATTGTTGACTGAACTCCAACCAGAACCACCCCAGGTGTCTGAGTAGGCCTGGGGCCCCTCTGGGGCCCCAGAGATCCCTAAATGGCTAGATCAAAGACAAGCACCAGGACCAGCTGGATGGCATCTCAACCTCCTTGACAGGGTGCTCCCCAGGTGCTTTTCCAAACTCAACATGCCACAAGCCAGTGAAGGGAGAGGAAGACTACTTTTCATAGGGGTCAGAGAAATAACCACCACCAGCAACAACAGCATGGCCCACGGCCCTCTCTGCAGAGCCGGGCACTATGGAAGCACGTGGATGGCTGAGCCCATTCATCCCTGGGAGAACCCTAGCAAGTTCATCCTCTCCCATCCCACGTTTCAGAGGAGCCAACTCAGGCTCAGAGAGATGTGGTGACATTCCCAAGACAAGACACACAGCTGGCAGTGGGCAGAGTTACCACTGTGCTCTGGAGGCAGCGGTCAGTCACCTGGGAGACAGCTGGTCCAGGACCTGGTGGGAAGTGCTGGAGCCTGAGTAGCTGTAGAGGGAGTTGATGACACTGCAGAGGACTCTGCTGGGGAAGGCTGGCAGCACAGACTCTGAGAGCCTCTGCATCATGCCTGCCTGGAGGGCACGCATCCTGCAGGCCTCAGTTACAGACAGAGTGGACTCATCTTCACACTGGGTGGGATGAGGAGGACACAGGGTCAGGGCCACCACTGCAAACCACCAGCGTCATCGAGGTCTGCAGCTGACCCAGGAACTCCTAGCCCCTCCCAGACATGTGCAACAGGAGAGACAGGAGCGCCCACACTCAGCAAGGTTCTGGGCTCTGAAAGTACAACCTGACTTTGGGCGGGCAAAGGATTCCATATTCAGCTCCCTCGAGGGCATTTGCTCACTGAGGGACAACAGACCTCCCTCTGTGAAGAGCACCAGCCCAGGGAATCCTCAACAGCACCCCTCTCTAGAGAGGAGATCAGAGGCTTAGGCATGCCAAGTGGCTTCTCTAGGTCCTGTGGGTCAGAACTGAGAACCGCCCAAAGTGAGGGCTGAGGGACATCCCCTCTAACTGCCTGAGGCTTCATCGGACCCTGACCCAGAGGGAAATGTTATGTGGTCACCTCACCCCTCCCCGGTATGGAAACAGTGTACAGGGCAGTGACAAGCTCTGAGAATCCCTTGACTTCCAAAAGACGCTGATAGTTATTTCTCTTACATTAAAGGGAGTTTGGAGACCCTCGTTACCCAGGTTTCATGTTCCAAAAAAGGCAAAATTCAAAGATACTCAGGGCCTAGTGGGAAGTGACAATGACATCAACGTTTTCTCTAATCTTCCTAGGAAAATGCACAGAGTGCCCTCCGACCTTCCTATGCAGCTGATGGGGAGGAGCAGAAGTCTAGATTCCTTTGGGAATGGGACTGTGGGACACTGAGGGGGGACAACACTGTTAGGGTCCCAGGAGAACGGCAGTTTGAGTTTGGATTCTGGGCCGGCCATGATCGTCTCAGGGTACTGGGTAGGAAGACCCCTCCGTGCCCACTCTCACCTCGGAGCAGCCCTGGTTATTGATGGTGGCATGGTGGAGCTGCCCCATGTCCAGGAAGATGGAGTACCCGAAGCCATCCGTCAGCTCTTCGACCACCTCCTATGTGCAGCTCTGCAAAGACAATGCCAGAGAGCTGGGCAGGGAGGTCTCAGGGGCCTGCCTCGACTTGGCCACAGGAGGAATCCCCAGCACCGATCAGGTACCCAGCAGTGTCTGTGTAGAACTCCAGCCAGGGAGGGAATGAGATGAGACCTGGAGGATTCGGGACTGACGTATGCATAGAGGAGCTTTGTCCCCAGCACCCACTCTCCCATCCTGCTACCCACCACCTAGGCTAGGAACACAGTACACTGCCAGGCTTCGAACAGCCAGCAAAGGGCTCGTGCCCACGGTGGGTCCCCACTCTGCCCCGCCATCCCTCACTCCACTCCCCCCCGACACACAAGGAGGCTCAGAGGGGTGTGGGGCTGGGATCCCGTTGTGGCCTAACGTGGTTGGCCTGCCCTGTGTTACCTGAGGTCTCCTCCTGCCAAATGGCCAGAGGCGGTGCAGGTGAGGGCCAAGCCAATGTGTGTAGTGACTGAAAAGACTCTGTGTCTTGGCTTTCCTGAAGCCACAGCCTAGACAAGTCGGGAGACAATAGTAGAACATGTTGTTCTCTTGAATGTCTCCACTCAAGTGAGCTCAATAGGAGGCTATGTCTAGAATGTGGGCTCCTGGAGACCAGTGTGCTAAGTTCTGTTGGGGTCTGTCACGAAGGAAGTGAGGTCACTACCTCAAGGTTCCCTTACCTGGGCCCCTTTCTTCAATCACACCCAACCAAACCACCTCTGGGCTCTTGGCTGCTCACCCTCCTTGCCCATATCATCTCCAGAACTGTACGCAATTAGCCAGCACAGAGCCCCACACAGGACCTTGAGATGGAACCAGGCTTCCAGCTTGAGGAAGCTGAGCTCAGCTGAGTTCAGGCCTCTTTTTCCCTAGAAGCTCTGTGTCTTGGAAACACCATTGTGCCTCCCAGGGCCTCCTTAATCTTTCAACCTGCACAATGGGGACAAGGTCAGAAATAGCTCCCTTGGGACATCCTCAGCTGTAAAAGAAATATTAGTGACAACACCTGTGGTCTGGTTTCACGTGTGTCTGATGCACACAGTTAGAGATGAAAGAATGACAAGAAGGGGTGGGATATCGTGTGGAGTATCCCTCAAAACAGGACAGGGTTGTAGCTTTTGGACCTTGAGAAAGTCACTGCCCCTCTGAGCCTCATTCCCACGTCTGCCCCTTTAAGGGGTTGAAATTAGAAGAAATTCAGATATAGCCAGTCACTGGCATGAAACCTTCCATGGCCTCCTGTTTGACTTACTTTCAGACCCAAGTGCCTCATGTCAGCCTATGTGGAGGGCAGCCTCCACCATGGCTCCCGGTCCTCACTGTCTTCTGCTGTGCACATCCTTGCGGAACCACACAGTGGTCAGGAAATGGCTTCTGAACAGAACGCAGCCAAGGTGTTGTGATGGCACGCAACCCAGGGTTAAGAACAAAAAGCCTGGCCCTTCCTTCTTAGTCATTTTCTTTATCCCCCTCCCTCTTTCCCTCCTCCTGTTTCCATCTCTCTCTCTCTCTCTCTCTCTGCCTCTTATATCTCTGGAACTGGGGGAGAAAGTGCACATGTGTTCAATTTCCCTATGTAGAGGCTCCATAGGAGAGAGCGGAGAGATTGATTGGCCGACAGGCAGGAACTCAGGCTTTCCATCCAGACAAACCCTGTCAACATGCATGTGAGCGAACTTGGGAGCACATGCTCCCCAAGTCGAGCCGCAATAGAGACGCAGCCCAAGCTTCATAGAGACCTTGAGGCAGAGGCACCCAGCTAAGCCGTGCCCAATTCCTGGCACACACACTTTGTGAGAGCTTAAGGATTTGTACTTTCTAGGGGCACGGTCTTGGAGCAATGTCGTCAGAGAGTGACAGGAAAAAGCAGTCTGCCAGTCTTGCCACCCGTCCCTGCCGTGCCCCCGTCTCCCCTCCTCTCTCTTCTCAGGATCCTTCCAGCCACACTGCCACCTTTCTGCCCTTCTCTGCTCAGACTCCTTTCTTCCTGTGAGTCCCTGCACCAGCGGTGTCTTCTCCCTGACACTCAAACTGTTTCCAGACACAGGTAGGTGTGCCTCACATCTGTCACTCTGCTCACAGCAAATGTCACCTCCGTGAGGCCTTTCAGGGCCTCCCAGGCACAGTCTCCAACATCACAGATCTCACATCTGCAAGGTCATCTCATGATTTCCTCCTTCTTGGTCTCATTTGGATAAAGTGAGTCCATGAAGGAGGGCTTTCTGCTTGGCAGAAGCAGAGGCAGCTTCTTCTGGTGACCTCAGGAACATGACTCTCTCTTCTGGGCTGAATGTTTCCCCTCACAAGTCCATTGTGAATGGAAACCGTCATTTCATCTCTTTCCTGGGTCTGGTTTCCCCTAAGAACACAGGGAGCCATCCCTTCTCCCTGGAATGTGGCACCAGCCCCTACACCCACAGCCAGGAAATTAGCACCCAGCTTCAAACTCCACCAGATCCTTAAGTCAGTTTCTGCTGAGGCCTCCCATCCATTCTGCAATTCCATGGTAACACCTGAGGTCACCTTTCCCCTGAGACTCAGCTCCCAGCCTTCCCTTGGCTTCTTACAGAACAGTGGGATTTCCAAGAAGCACTCCCAGCCTGGGAAAGAAAGGTTTTGAAATGTTCTCTATGTATTTTCCAGGACATGGGATATGGGGAGAAGTCATTTTGGTGTGTATGTGCAGCAGTTTTGATGCAAAAAGTATCTTTTTCAGACAGAGATCAAAGAATGGGGCTAATGGGTGTAACAAGAAAATAGATACGCTGAGCCAACTTCTTCATGGTGTGAAGTCTTAGAGAGCAAACAACATGATTAAGAGCAGAGAATATGGGGACAATATCTTATGTTCAAATTCCAGCTCAGTCACTTCCTAGATATTGGTAGTGGGCAAGTTACTCACCTCACCAGTGCCTCAGTTTGCTCATCTGGTGTTGGCAAGAATGATAAGTGTACCTAATTTGTAAGGACATGGAGAGTATTAAAGGAGTTAATGTTTGAAAAGTGCTTGCAACACCTAGCACATTACAAGCACTGTAACAATCCATTATAAATGAAATGGAAACGTTCTTCTGATGCTATCTGTTTGCTCCAGAAGGAAGACTAGTGCCTGGATGGATGTAGAAAGCACTCTCTGAGACAGGATGAATCGAAGAATGAACAACATTGTTGAAGGCATTTCCAATGGCACATCCGCCTCCCTACGGACATTCCCAAGCACAATCACACCCAAGCATCCCTTCTCTGTCCTGCATCATTTTTTGAGATTCTATCCAGAAATCATGGGAGCTTGTTGCACCCTGGGACCCACACCCACTACAGGTTCTCTTCTCTCTAGCAGAAAACCTTAGGCCTTGTCCTAATGGCTGCAGCCCACAGGCTCTGCCCTCTGATCCTTTTCTTCACTTGAGGGGAAGTGCCATCCCAGAACTGGGCACACACAGTGTGAGCCTTGGAGGGAATGTCTCCCTGGCTGGTTGTAGGTGGAAGAGCGCCGTGACAGAGTGGGATTTAGGGAGAGTCTTCCAGGTGTGCTCAGAATGGGTCCAGCCAGGGCATTTGTCAGCAAGGTCTGGTCTGGTTGGCGGACCTCGGTGGCAAATGAGTGGCAGGGGCAGCATGTTTTAGAGGTCCTCGCATGAGACAATACATAGGATGGTCATGAAGCCAGAATCAACCTAATGAGCTCCAACTCAATGCACTGTCATCTGTTCCCTGACTGGCTCACTAATCCAGGAGTGATTTACAAGAGTGATATTCGTGTTCTATCATCTTTTCATTGGTTGGCTACAGCTATTATTCTTTAAACAACTTGTATATTTCTACAAAGGAAAGGAAAGGTGAGTTTTGTTACAACCCTTCTAGCAAAATTCTCCCTAACATATTGAATCACTAACAGAATCCACCACTGGGAACCTCACATAAGATCCTGACATTTACTCTCTCGTTTCATATTTTCCTGTTTGGTAAATTCTCTTGACTTCTGGCTTCTTTCCTTAGGTTCGTCCACTTAGGACAATGTAGGAGTGCAACCTCCTGCCACTTGAGTAGTGGTGAAACTCTATGATGATGTTGCTTTTGTTTTGTGACTGTGAATGTGTGTATGTGTGTGTGTGTGTGTGTGTGTGATGAGACTGTTTTCTGCATCTTGCCACGTGGGTTGGATTGACTCCTTTCCTTGGAAAAATTGTCCCTAACCACTTTCTCTGGGCTTTATTTTCATGGCTTGAACAGTGCTGTGCAACAGTAGAATTGACACTCTATCTTATGGAATTTAAACTTCTTTTAGTAGCCACATTTAAGAAAGTAAAAATAAACACATGAAACTAATTTTAATAGTATATTTAAACCCATTATAACCAAGATATTATTATTTCTCCAGGCAATCTATATAAAAATTATTACAGAGATAGTTGACTTTATTTTTTTATGATTGGGATCTACAAATCCATTTACAGCACAGTCTTCATTTGCAAATTGAAATTTTCTACATATTCAGTTTCTGTGTCCCCCAAATCAGAATCTGGGCTGAATTGTTAGAGAAGAAATAAAGCAGAACAGGCATAAGTAATGATCACTATCAATCCAGCTCAGCATGAACACTCACCACTGACAAAAAGGCTGTCCCTGAGCAGGGAGTAGAGGCCCCTCCGGGTGACACGGTGAGTCAGCTTGTTAAGCTCCCTGGAATGCTGCTGTCACCTGATGTCTCTGTCATACTCTCCATCACACGCCATGGGGTCAGGGTGGTAGGTGCAGACAGCTTCCACGCTGGTGGCTGCCCCATCCTCCCCAGGCCTGGGGAGAGAGGAATGTGGGGACTCTAGAGAGATGTCCTGAGTCCTCTATTAATGGGGGCCAGAGGGAGGGAGGAGCAAATTGGCAGTCAGTGGGAAGAGTGAAAAGTGGGGTGGGCTCTGAAAGTGTTTGTGACTCTCAAACGCTCAGAAAAGGGACTTTCCTGAGGGAGATCAGTCTGCAACCCAAGGACAAGGGGCCTAGGCTGCTCTTCTTGAACAAGGATCCAAGCAGTGGAGGAGTCAGGAGGAGGGTGAGCAGGAGAGACAGCAGGTGGGGAGTGGCTGGCTGGGACTCATTCTACCAGGAGCTGCAGGCACCAGGGTCTCATCCGGTGCTGCAGGACTGTCTCAGTGGAGTTAAATGTCACTGAGCCCTTGCTCATGTCTGTTGAATACTGGAGGTTGGAGATGCTGAAGTTCAGTGTGAGGGCCTTCAGCTCATGCCCCATACCTTGCAAGAAGAGATGGGGAGAGATGGCCATCACTGACAGCTGGCCTGAGACCAGATCAGAGTCCTGAACTCATTATCATCTGTTGCCTTTTCTCCCAGTGGAACCACCACCCACTGCTGTGCTCATCTAAGTTGAAGCCAGTATCTCACTCACCTCCTCCTTCCTCCCCTGCCAGTAACACAAATTGCACTTGAGGATTGCTCCTCAAAACACACCCTATTTCCCTATATAATGCCTACTCCTTCTTAAAGACCCCAACTGGGCAAAACTTCCTCCACAAAGCTCTTCCCGCCCAAACAATGCCAGTGCTTCTCCTCAAAACAT